AATAAAGCTTTTTCGATGGTGTCAACTTTGGGATTAACTGATTCATTATCTATGATGTGACGTTTTCCTCTTTCGCTCAAGTCCGAGAAAGGATTTGAAGGTCGTCCACGTTTTGATCCAGCGGCAAAGGTGGAGGCAACATATTGCTCATGTTCAATAAAATCCCATAGTGACCGAAAATATTCAAATCGCTTTAAAAAACATCTTTCAGAAAGTAGTTCTGCGGTATTTTAGATTTAATGTGAAGCCTGAAAGTTTTGAGTAGCATTTCAAAAAACCCTGAATTGAATTAAAAGTAAATTTTAATGAAAACTCATAGGAATTTCTGTGGAGCACAGCTCTTGTGAACTTCAGAGGAAAATTCCAAGGGCATTGTGAGGATAATTTCATAAAGTTTGTGGGAAAAAACGAATCCGGACAATAAGTTCTTGGATTTTTTTTAATACTAAAAGGAGGATTACGATCAGTCCACTTTGAGAAGCGTTGCAGAACGGTTGTGTGTTTTGCTGCGCTGCGTGCTTTTATTTTTTTAGAGCTCGGGCTATCTTTGTGCTGGCGTGTAGTTTTTCGGTGATAGCATTTGAATAGTTTTGTGTCCCGGGCGCGATAATTTGATTTAGAATTAACCATTTTATTCGAGCACTTAAAATGACGTTTACTACCACTCGAACTTTGAAATAAAACATTATTTTGAGATTGTTTCTTCTAGAACCTCGAGAAAAGTAGCCAGCATTTGTGCGTTTCATAAAAAAATAGAAATTATTTGGTCCAGTTTTGTGAAATCGCTGGTAGAAAGTCACGCAAAAACTGCTTGACAAAGTGGTCAATTGTTAGTGCTGTTTCCCCCCTGTTGCTTAGGTGCCTGGTGTGCTCTCGCTTTGTTGTCGCTATGATCTATTATTAGGTTTTTGCGATGTGCATTGCTTTTGGGCACAGAGTGATTCGAAAAAGAAAAGTGATAATTAGTTATTGTGTGCTTGGAATCGCTGGCGAAGGAATTGTTTAAAAATGAATAGAGAAAAATAAGCATCGGGAATGCGCTCCCGGATATATTGATTTGGTGAGTACGTTCCAGTTGAAGATTGTTCTTATACATTTCTCGATTACATTTTCGAGGGGACGTGTCTGCTTTTGTGGGCAGTGCGTTTGATGGTCGGATTGGTAGTATACTTTTAAATATAATGTCTCATGTCCAAATAACCTCGATTTTCGGTCTATTGATTCAATACTTTAGTATTATATTTTCAAAACATACAATGATGCATTATGTCATTTCATGGCACATAAAACAAAAAGTGTGTGTGTATAGGACCCAAAATCTAGGTTATTTGTATTTTCTAAAATATTTTTATTTTTTACTATATTTTTGTCATTTTACTAGGTACATATTTTATATAAATTATATATTACATGATTATATATAAATTTATAATGTAAATTACAATAAATGCTGAGACGGGAGGGAGCATCTGGGCATCATTGAAGTTGTAACTGGACAATGGAGTGGAGTGCCAACCGGAGTCTAGGAGGGAATGTGTACTGTCATTCTAGATAGTTACATTTCACTTCAACAGAGTCGCAATGAATTTGACGCGCTCTTCTTAAACAAACCATCCCGTGGAAAGCTTAACATGTACACTGGAGTCGCTTTTTACGCGGGTGATACGTCCCGCGTAAAAAAAAACCGCGTAAATTCCGGAATCCGCGTAAAAAAAAACCGCGTAAATTCCGAAATCCGCGTAAAAAAAAACCGCGTAAAAAAAGACCGTGTAAGAAAAAACCGCGTAAAAAGCGATATACCGCGTAAATTCTGAAATCCGCGTAAAAAAAAAACCAAAATCCGCGTAAAAAAAAACCGCGTAAATTCCGGAATCCGCGTAAAAAAAAACCGCGTAAATTCCGAAATCCGCGTAAAAAAAAACCGCGTAAAAAAAACCGTGTAAAAAAAAACCGCGTAAAAAGCGACTCCAGTGTATTGCGAATTTCGTTATTCGTTTTGTTGGATCATATTGTTGGAAGGAGATTCTCTTATTCCCGCGGGTTTCGCGTAAGTGTCTCTGCTTACGGGCCCGTCCAACCCCTTTTGGCCCTTCATACAGCAATATGTTGAATTCAGAATGATGACGAAATTTGATCTTGCTGTTGAGTGGAGCCGCATGCAGGGCAAGACCCAAGCTAGGATGGTGGCTACTTACATACATACATACATACATACTAAAAGGAGAATTACGATCAAATCTGAGAATAACTCCAGGACATCTTCAAAGGAAATCGGAAAATAAATTCAGGAGAGTTAGCCAAATAAATTATGAGAAGAAATCTAAGGAATTTATGTGGAGAAATGCCAATGAATTCTTAGCAGACTAACAATGTGAGTAGAATTCCAAGTAAAGGAGTGAGATTCAAAAGGAAATCTGAAATGATTCAATGAACATTCGGAGAATTTTTCCAAAGGGTTTCTTATTGTGGAGAATTTCAAGGTAATTCCGAGGAAAGCTAAAAGAAAATTGAATTCGGAGGATAGCTTCATCGGTATTTTTTATGGAAATCTTCGTTGAATATGGAATGAACTATTCTGAGGTCTTCAGAACTACTTGAAAGTTCCCAAATTTTTCCTGAAGTTAATAGAACTGCCTTGAAGTTGTTTTGTAGTTTGAGAAACTAGCCTGATGCTCACAATACTTCTCATCAAATTCTTAAACTTTCCTGAACTTTAAGGACTCCCTAAAGCTACTTCAATTTTTCTAACGATCATGGATCTCCTCTATATGTTTAACAATTCGCTGAAGTCCTTTAAAATTTATATGACATCTCTAATGTTAACGGAACTGCTCTGAGGTTCTCTGTTCTTTTCTGAAATTTTTAAAGCTTCTCTAAAGTGTTTGCAGGTCTCATGAAGCTTGTTGTACTGCGCTGAATTTAATTGGACCGTCCTAAAAATATTTAAGCTTCAGTGAACTTCTGAACTTATACGAAGACCTCAATTAACTTTTTAAAGTCTATGAAGTTATCTGAAAATCTGGGAACTGCTTTAAATTTCCCACTTATTTTCTCTAATGGAACCGACCTCTCCCTAATTTTTTTTCAATTTTCGGAGCATACTAAACTTCTTTCAAATGCTAACGCATTTCGCTAATGTTATAAAAATTCCTGAAGTTCGCGGATGTCCCTTTAAGCTCCATAGATTTCCATAAAGTTTTTGAAATGATTCTAAAGATCACTGTCCTTCTGTGAAGTTTTCGAAGTTTTTCTAAATTTCTGGAACTTTTGTGCTCCCGCAATATTCATGGAATTAGGACGAGATAATTAATATAGTTCTTTGTTTTTCACTGAAGTTCTGATGATTTTTGTGAAGTTCATAAAATTTCTCTTTAATTATCGACACTAATTAAAAACTTTTTCAATACTTCAACTTTCCTAGTGTGTTATTAAAACTGTCTAAACGATTACTGAATTTTTAAAGTTCTCTAGACTGCCCTGAATTGAAACTTTGACAATTTTCCTCAAGTTTTAAAACCATTACAAACGCTCACTTTTTTCCCTGAACTTATCTATGGTTACCTAAAATTCTCTTGATTTGTTTAATAATCCGGCAAATTTTCTGATAGTTATACATTCATAATTCCCTGACGCTTGTGACGTTTTCGGATCATTCATAGAATTCTTGGAATACTCCATAATTCCACGGAACTCCTTGTAAGTCGCTACAAATGGGGTTAAGTTAATTGGATTGTTCTGAAGCTATCTGATCGTCCTCGAAGTACTCGGAACTTCGCTGAATATCATGAAATCATATAAAAATATCTAAATTTATTAGAAGTTCCCTGGAATTTCTTGAAGATCAACTTAGTTAAATTTTCGTATTTTTTAAGTTCTTGAAATCTCCATGATATAACACTCTTAAAATACTCTCACGTTTTCCGAATTTTCATATAATTTTTATCACGTTCCAGAAATTCTCTGGAAGCTTTGCTAAAGTTTCTGGAAATTTCCGGAATTTCTCGATACTTCTTAAGGTATCTACAATTTCCTTGAAATTATTTGAACTGCCCTTTGATTCTCTGATCTGTCTTGCTATTCTCGAAGCTTTCCTAAAGCTCTCAATTCTATTGGAGATCTCGGTTCTGCTCGGAAATAAATGAAATTCCCGTAAACACCTTTAAATTTCCCTGAAATTCTCTGGACTTTTGTGCAGTTCCTGAAATATTCCTGACGTGTTCATAAATTCTCTGAAAGTCTCTGTACTTCCCAGAAATTCTCGGAGCATCTTAAGGGTTCTCGTTTTTTTTCAGCACATCGTGGAACTAACCTGATTTTTTTTCTAAATTCACGATTATAGATCTTTAAACTGCTCCAAAAGTCTGGCTGGACTAACGTTACGGGAACTGCTTGAACCTGTACATGGAATACGAAATTTCAAGACATTGAATGTTTTTAGATCTTGGACTTACTTAATTGGAAAACTAATGTAATTTTATTTAGAAAAATGAGTAGACACCCTGTAGATAGAGAAAGACGATTAAACGCTTCAAAGTAAAGAATGATCAATCTTGAAATAAATTCACGCTAAAAAAGTTGAAAATAGAGACTGATTACAAGAAAAAGTGACTTGGTTTTGAAAAAGGAGATTTTTTAGTGACTGGCTTGAAAAAAGTAACCAAGTCACTAAAAAGTGGCTCTAGATCTAGAATCAATATTTGTTCTTAGTGCTATTTGAGCACTTCCACAGTTGTTAATTGAAAGCTTTCTAGCGTGTACCAGTTTTGCATTAGTATATATTGTGTGGTTAGTATAATCATATTCTATGCCCAGGGATTTTCAACCTCATGCTTCATAGCTGCGCCTCTACCGACTTACTACCTGAACAGAATTAAGCACCCTAGCGTGATAATTGCCAATCTTCTAGACATGATGTCACCGTTTCTATTTTATTGCCAATATTGTTATTAGCACAACAAGCTAGAAAGAACTAATTAATTATTCTCCTCCATCCTTCGCAGTACCTGTACGAGTTCGGATGGCACAGCAAGGGTCTGATCGGCGTAACCGAGCCACGTCGCATCTCGGCTATTACGCTGGCCGACCGGGTGGCTTCGGAACGTGGAGAACTGAGCGGCGAAACGGTGGGCGTTTCGATACGATTCATATCGAAATGTGATCCTGCGTCAACAAAGATCAAATTCATGACGGAGGGAATCCTTCTGCGGGAGATGTTGGCTGACCCATTGTTGACCCAGTACGGGGTCATTATGGTAGATGAAGCGCACGAGCGCAGTGTTCTGACGGACACGGTGCTGGGACTGTTGAAGAAGATTGCCCGCAAAAGACCGGCGCTGAAGATTATCATTTCATCCGCGACAGTTGACGCGGAACTGTTTCAGGAGTTTTTCAATTTGAAAACCAAGAAGGACGAGAAGGATACTTCGGTAATATTGACCGTTGAGGGGCGGATGTATTCGTTTGAGGTTTTCTACTTGGAAGGTACACTGTTTTGAGGGAGTTTGTAGGAGAAAATATGATTTACGTATTTTTAATTCCAGAGCCATGTCCGGATTATGTGAAGGCAACCGTGGAAACAGTAATGAAGATTCATCGTAAAGAACAACGAGGTGATATACTAGCATTTCTCACGGGTCAAGAAGAGGTACTTAAGGCACTTGACCTTCTGCGCGAGCACAAGGATGCCAGTGGAAAGGACGACATGCTGATTCTTCCCATGTACGGAACCCTTCCGAATACGGATCAACTCAAGGTGTTCTTCGGGACGCCAAAAGGGGTCCGTAAGATCATTCTGGCAACCAATATCGCCGAGACGTCCGTTACCATTCCTGGAATTGTCTACGGTAAGACGTCTTTACGCTAAATAAGGATCCCATAGTTTATAGAACACCTTTCTACCTTTCCAGTGATTGATTGTGGCTTCGTCAAGCTCAACTGGTACTCTGCGGATAGCACCACCAACAGCTTGGTTGTTGTCCCAACGAGCAAAGCAGCGGCGGAGCAGCGCGCGGGCCGAGCAGGTCGAGTTCGAAGTGGAAAGGTGTTCCGCCTATACACTGAAGAGGAATGGGAGAAGCTGCCGGATCACACTCCCCCAGAGATGCGCCGATCAGATCTCTGCAGCACTGTTCTCTTTTTGAAAGCTCTCGGAATAGACAACATTTTGCGATTTACGTTCCCATCGCCACCACCAGCGAAAAACTTGCTGGCTTCCCTCGAGACCCTGTACGCATTGGAAGCCCTCGACGAAGATGGAAATTTGACCACTCCGGTAGGTTACTTCCTAGCCGAAATGCCATTTAGTGCCATGTTGGCAAAAATGCTGTACAAAGCCGGGGAAATGGGTTGCTCCGAAGAAATCCTGATCATCATCGCTATGCTGCAGGTACAGTCGGTATTCTCGAAACCAGTCAGTGGACAAGCATCGATTCGGGCGCGTATCGCAAAGCGCAACTTCGAGGTAGCCGAAGGAGATTTGATCACCCTGTTGAACGTCTATACAGCGTTCGTTGAGAATGATCGAACAAAAGAATTTTGTGGCAGAAATTTCCTAATCTATAGAAACCTGAAACGTGCACACGAAATCAAAACACAGCTGTGCAGTATGCTGGAGAGGGAGTTGAATATTCCTCTGCTGTCCTGCAATGGAAACGTTGAAACCATTTGCCGCTGCATCGTGTCTGGATTCTTCCCTTATGCCGCTTACTTGCATCATTCTGGTGTCTATAGGACTGTCAGAGGAAACACGGAGTTGGCCATCCATCCTATATCTTGTCTCTACACCATTGAACAGCCTCAATGGGTCATTTTTTGTGAACTGATGCACACCACAAAGCTGTTCATGAAGGACATAACGGTCATCAAGCAGGAATGGCTTACAGAGTTGGCCCCTCACTACTATCACAAGATTACAGTCAAAGATCGTTTCAATTAACTGGACCCGTTCGGACATAATAAATTGCTACAAATATATGAATAACAAATCGATTCTTACCTTTTATTACTACGATTTCTCCGCGCTGATACTTTCAACAATGCTCTGCAAAACCTTCGACGTTGTACAGTCGGGTAGTTCCTTGACGCATGCCTTTCCCGAACCGGCCAGTGCTCCCACCCGAGGATCAATCGGAAGCGTTCCTAAGTGGGGCACTTTGGCCAATTCCGCCAAAGCCACTCCTCCTCCCGAGGAAAAAATGTTCGTACATTCCGAACAATTAGGACATACAAACCCGCTCATGTTCTCCACAATTCCGATAATCTTAATCCCCGTCTTCTTGCAAAACGTTACCTCCTTTCGTACGTCTTCCAGAGCCATCTCCTGCGGTGTCGTCACAATGATTGCTCCGTCAGCGTCGACCGCTTTCAGGCATTCCATCACGGTAATGTGTTCATCCGACGTCCCCGGTGGGGTGTCGATAATCAAATAGTCCAGCTCATCCCAAGCAACGTCCTCCAGGAACTGCTTTATCATCGCCGTCTTCTTTGGACCACGCCAGATGACGGCATCGGTTCGGTTCTTTAACAGGAATCCGATGGACATGACCGCTAGGTTCTTTTCTGCGTTCGTGTACACCGGAACCCATCCTTCGTCGCACTGATGTACGTCATGCTCTTCCAGACCGAGCAAATATGGAACACTCGGACCGCATAGGTCGATGTCCAGCAGTCCAACCTGGGGGAAACACGGGAGATGCGATCGTGGAGTCAAGAAACGGAGATACAATCGAGTTACTACTCACCTTAAAATTCGATTCCGACAGAGTCAGTGCCAGTTGCGTGCTGATGGTGGATTTTCCGACGCCACCCTTGCCGGAAAGCACCAGGATTATGTGTTTCACTTTGTCCAGCATTTTGAAATCGTTTGGAATGGGTCAGTTTGGTGATAAAATTGATAAGCGAGTGGCACGAATGGAACGGGTCGCGAAAGGCGAAACAGCTGTGATGCACTATGATGATGATGCGTATGTACGATGTAAACAGAACTTTTTGACATTTCCTTGGCGTTACGAGTGGTGAGTTAAATTTCGGGAAGGCGTTACAGTTTTGACGGTGGTTCTGAATATGATTTTAATCACTTTAAAAAAAGCATTGACTTCTCTCGCATAAACGCGAACCATAACAATGACCTTACCGAAAATAGTTAAAAATTGTTTATAATCCCTGCTAAACTTTAACTGAAATGGTTATGGAACTCTACATGAACGTTTGTGTGATAAAGTTTTATAGCATGGTAGTAGCAACAATCAATACGAAACTAACGATTTTAAATTGGCTCACTACTTGACTAGCCTATTGGTCCCAAGCAAATCGATTAACGTACTCCATTCTAGTCGAAATTCTAGAACTACACTATGTTTGTTTTGATTCGCTATGAAAGTTTGACAGACAAAATGAGGGGTTCTTGGATTTTCCTATGTTTCTAAGGGTGCATCGATTAGCTTGGGACCGAAGATAGTACCAGAGCTGAGCCAAAAAGTTGAGCACGTTTCTTCGGGACCTTCTGGTCTTAGAGTTACCCTTAGAGATGAATCACGTTTTCTTTCTCGATTCTAAAACTTCCCAGAAAGTGAGAAAATCACCAATCACACAGGTATAACCAACAATCAATACGAAACTAATGATTTTAAATTGGCTCACAACTTTAGTAGCCTATTGGTCCCAAGCAAACGATTAACGTACCCTATTCTAGTTGAAATTCTAGTACTACGCAATGTTTGTTTTGATTCGCTATGAAAGTTTGACAGATTAAATGAGGGGTTATTGGTTTTTCCTATGTTTCGAGGGGTGATTTGATTAGCTTGGGACCGAAGAGAGTACTAGAGCTGAGCCAAAAAGTTGAGCACGTTATTTCGGGACCTTCTAGTCTTAGAGTTACCTCTATGGTATAACTGTTGGTATAACCGTCTGGGAAGAAGAGTGCCAGCGCTAATCAGGCAACACTAGCCGAAAACTATGAAAGTGAACGCACGCACATTATCAGATCAACCTCGCTAAGCCGTCCACAATTTTTGTAAAATTGTTGATACGAGTGCCAAGGATATCTTCCATGGGGATGTGCATGCGGTAGTGACAGGCGATGACGCATACCCAGGGCCATGTCGTACTTGAAGTGTTGATGCAATACTTCATCGCTGTTTGCAGGTTCTTCCAAAATCAGATGCACCGTGGACATTGGTGACAGACACGATTTGTGAAGATCTGAAAAAAATATATGGAAAAACAAAGAAACGGTATGAACATTGTTGCATATCTTTGCAGTTGCACTTGGAGAGCAGCTGAGGTGTTTACTGAACAGAATTAAAAGATTATGAAGGTATCACATAGGGTTATCTACAATCTACAATGCTGAATGTAAACATAAACAAAGCAGGAATTCATATGAGAATAAACTGCCAGTTCTACCATTTTAAATTGGCTCACTACTTGACTAGCCTATTGGTCCCAATCGATTAACGTACCCTATTCTAGTCGAAATTCTAGTACTACACTAGGTTTGTTTTTATTCGCTATGAAAGTTTGACAGATAAAATAAGGGGTTCGTGGATTTTCCTATGTTTCGAGGGGTGTATCGATTAGCTTGGGACCGAAGATAGTACCAGAGCTGAGCCAAAAAGTTGAGCTCGTTTCTTCGGGACCTTCCCCAACAAACAATTTTAGCTGCAGACTAGCTTATACAGGCAAACATTAGCTGTATAAGCCAATTTGTGGCTGTATAAGCTAATCTGCAGCTAAAATTGTTAGTTGGGTCTGGTCTTAGAGTTACCTCTATTTGGGACCGAAGAGAGTACCAGAGCTGTGCCAAAAAGTTGAGCACGTTTCTTCGGGCCTTAGAGTTACCTCTATGCTACTACCATAGAGGTAACTCTAAGACCAGAAGGTTCTAGAATACTAAGAGCGAACTCAAAGTGAGTTGTCAATAGACTGTCCGAGAAAATTTGCGAAAAAAATATTAAAAGATACCAGCATGCTCAGAAATAATATGATAATTCTTCTGGAAATAGGCAACAGCTCAACACGCAACAGATATGAAGTTCTTCAAATTTCCCAGAAGTTCTACGAAATTCCTTGATATTCTATGAACTTTCTTGAACTTTCGCAAATTCCTCGGAAGATATTTTTTTCAATCTTCAACTTGAATTTCGTTGATGATCTACGAGCTTTCTTGAAGTTCTGTGAACTTCCCTCATGTTTTGCAAATCTCTCTGATGATCTATCAACATTTATGAAGTTCTGTGAACCTCTCTGAAATTCTGCAAAGAATTTTCCTGAAGTTCTGCAAATTTCTCTGAAGATATACAAACTCGTACATATACAAAACAAATATCACTAAAATGAAGGAAACTCACAAAATACTTCCACGCATTTTTCTCTGCTTGTAAAAAAACTAGCAAACTTACTCACGATCGCTATGACGCTGCGAAAAAACTGCCGCTCCGGTGTGATTACCCGCGCGAATTTAAGGAGACCTTAAACGTTTGCTTTTTCGGCAAGCGTTGGCAATGGAAAGTTTCTCTATTAATAAATAAAGTCACATTTATAAAATAATCTATTCAAACAACAGTCGCAGGTGATCTTCGTTGAGCGCGATCGCCAGCATAATCATTCCCCCCAGAAAAATACCACAGATCTGAGACCAGATGGTCCTTAATTTTTTGCACCGCTGTTCGTCTGAAACCGTTTCGCGGAGGTTCCGGTTCATTTCCGGAATCAGATCCGCTAGGGCGATGTAGAGGAACGTACCAGCTGTTCCTGCGTAGATCCACCGTACGACCGACTCGTGCAGTCCGGTCACTAACAGTCCTATTAACATACCTGGAAGATTTTCAAGATTCGTTTTTCAATTATTTATTTAATAAAACAATCAACAAAATACAAACCTATAAAACTTAATACTGAAGATACCACATTAAGAAACATGGCACGCTTTATACTAACTCCCGTTTGTAATAGCAACGCGAAATCGCCCAGCTCGTGGGGTAACTCGTGGCACAGGATAGCCAGCGATGTGGCCATTCCGGTAACCGGATCGGAAGCGAACGCTGCTCCAATGGCCAGTCCATCGGTAATGTTGTGCAAACCGTCGCCCAAAATTACCATAAATGCTACCGGACTAAGCGGTTTACTGGTGGGCTTCTTTTCCAGCATACTGTTCAATTCTTTCCTCCTACTGTCTTGTAGATCCATTTCGATATCGTCTACCACGTTGGTGTTTTGTCGCGCCTGGGATGGTTCCGGAACGGGAGCCACTTTCGCTCTACCATGTGAGTGGCCGTGATGGCTCGTGTCTCCTGCCGATCGCAACATCGGAAGTACCGTCTCCAAAGTGTACATGAACAGCGCACTGAGGAAGGCACAACAACACAACCAAACGGGCTCGTTACTATGCGAATGATCGTCATCGTCGTAGCCGTGGTCGTCTGCACTGGAGTGGTCTTCATGGGGAATCAGTGCGTGGGGAAGCAAATGCTGTAAGAGCATATGAACTTTAGTTGATTGCTGCGAGTTTGATTAGCATATCCAAGGACTCACCATTAGTGCGTCTCCGCAAAGGGTGCCGATTGCCAGCGCTACAAGGAACCTTAGAATTTCGTCATAAGCAACCGATTTGGCAAGAGGGACGATCGCAACCCCAATCAGTCCACAGATGGATATGATGAAGACACAGACGGTTGCATACAGCCAGGCTAAAATGGAATCAAACAACCTTCGCATCAGATCTTAGTTCTACGCAATTTTTCGATGATTGTTCGTCATACCGTAAGAGAACAGCTTCTTCTCGACGTGTGGTTGATCCTTGGTTTGATACTTTTCATTGCAAGCCCGCTGGTCGATCTGTGCTAACAGCGCCGGGCAGAGATCTTTGAACGTCGACGGAGTAATTTTGATACGAGTGGCAAGGACCTCTTCCTCGTCTTGGTCATGGGGATGTGCATGCGGTAGTGACCGGCGATGACGCATACCCAGGGCCATGTCGTACTTGAAGTGTTGATGCAAAACTTCATCACTGTTTGCAGGTTCGTCCAAAATCAGATGCACCATGGACATAGGTGACAGGCACGATTTGCGACGATCTATAAAAGAAAAGGAAAAACAAAGAAACGGTGTGAACATTGTTGCATTTCTCCGTAGTTGCACTTAGGAAAGCAATTCGGGTGTTTGCTGACCAGAATTAAAAGATTATGATGGTGTCACATGGGGTAATGGGAACTATTACTTGAATTACAACTGATATTAGCTTATCTGTGAATGATTTGCTAACATCAGCACGTGCAATTTTACTCTCTAGCTTAATGCGGAAACCTGTACCGAGTTATATTACAACCATGTCAGATGAATCATTTGTGCAATAAATAACCTCTGCTCACTTTGCCTTTTATTTTATTGCTAAGGATGATAACGGTTTCCATTTTCTTTCTGGAATAGAAGCTAAACCAAATGAAAAAGTGCTTGACAATGCAGGCAAAACTAGATAAGTTATCATGACATGTTTTTGAATCATGGAGGAGATGCATATCTGGACTTTCTAGTGAAATTTTTAGAAGCATTCCTAGGGTAGTTGAGCCAGTCATGGCTATGCTTTCCTATTTTATGATAGTTTGGTGTACTGGTATTCTAATGTTTTCAGCAGTTTTATTCACCAACCATGTTTTAAGGTGGAAGATAGTTATAATTTAACCAATTTTCTGAAATCCAGAAATATTTATTTATTTATCACCATCTTCGACTAGTCGTACAGACTGAACTATTTTACTTATAAACTAGAAATTACTACTAATCCTATTTCTAAAAACGTTTTTAGTCAAGTTAAACTCGAATTCGTCACAGACAACATTGAACAAGCGAAGACACGAATCAAAAGGGTTGTTGTAGCCGTAGTTTGTTCTGTGGTATGGGACTGCTATTAAAGCTGAGCTCCGAAACCGTCGAGGAGGAATGTTGAGCGGGATCTGTGCGAGAAGTTCAGGGCAATCGATAGATCCTCCAATGACATCGAACATAAATAGCCGCTGCATCGTTACTCGTCTGACAGATAGTGGTTCCAATCCTATGAGCTTGCATCGGTCAGAATAAGGAGGAAGATTGGTCGGATCGTTCCAAGGAAGTTGTCTCAGTGCAAACCGTAAGAACCTTTTCTGCACCCGTTTAATCGTGAGAACATGAGCTACATAATAAGGGGACCAAATCGGAGCAGCGTACTCCAGAATGCTACGAACCAACGAGCAATAGAGAGTTTTTAAAGCGTGGATGTCGGTGAACTCGGAAGCGTGGCGACGGATGAATCCCAGCACAGAAAAGCTTTGGCAGTGGTAATGCTCACGTGTTCGTTGAATCTGAGCCTCGAATCGATGGTAACGCCAAGGTCAAAGATGGACGACACATGTTCCAATGATGCAGTTTCCATCCTGTATTGATGAAGAATGGGGTTATTGCAGCGACCGAAGGTAATAACTTTGCACTTCATGTTATTGACCCGCATGCCGCCACACCATACCAGTATAGTATCAATATCTTCTTGTTGGGTAATACAATCCGGAAGAGAAGCTATGACACGATACATTTTTAGGTCATCAGCGAATGAAAGCTTAAACGAGGAAAGCAGCAGACACAGGTCATTTATAAAAATGTTGAATATTAATGGTCCCAGAACGCTTCCTTGGGGTACACCAGACGTGATTTTGAAAATACAGGATCGAGTCGAGTTGACCGCAAAATATGCAGTACGATCGCACAAGTACGAATCTATCCATCCACTTGGCGCTACAAACAACTAGGAACTAAACTATTTCCCTCTGGTTCCCTTACTTAAATTCTAGTCACCAATTTCCACATCATAGTTGACAATATTTGATATCTTTATGAATATATTGATCCACTGATTAGTGGGAGTTATCGGTTCCAGATTTCAGGGAAAATTTCAAGGAAAATTAAGGAAGTCCATAAACTTGCAAAAAAGGTTTTCAAAATAAGTTCGTAGTATTTCCAGTCCTCGAGTAACAACAAACGTAGCCAAATCGAAAGTCAAGCGAAGTTTTGAACAATGACAGTGTTGTGCTCATCGGCTACCTTAGTTGCTAGATGATTTGTTTTTACAGGGATCAGATGGCGTCTCTCTGTATATTCTAGTCTCTAGGTGGAAAAATTCTTCATAGATGTAAAGTTTCCCAGCAGCTTGCTACAATTTTGGACGGCAATTTTATTCTTTTACATAATGCACCGTTTTATATGTTTTTAAAATAATTTCAGAAGGTGGAATCGGCATTTTGGGTCTGCTTCAGAGTTTTGAACAGCTAAACTATGAGGAAATTTGAACTATAAGGAAAATGTAGGGGAAACAGTCCTATTTTTGCGGAAAATTAGAAGCGTTATAAGCCTATTGTTGTTTATAGAGTGTCGTGAACCGACGCAATCCACAAAAGCCGGTTCCATCACACTCTACACATACCACTAGACTGATGCAACATTTGAAATTTTAGCTCCACAGTGCTCAAATGGTTTAAAATCAGGTGCTGATTAGCCTCCCAATTCAGCCAAATATCAAATTAAATTATTATTAATTGTTTAAGAGATTGATAATCTTATGGGCAACACTGTATTCTGCAGTGTGACATAGTAGCCATGATATTTGTACCACCAATGTTTCAGCAGGCATAGTTGAATGAGCGAAATCATAAGACATCAGTGACTTGAATTTGATTGAAAAGTAGTTTTCAACAAAGTTGTAGCTGAGAAAATTTGATACAATCACTGCTATTATTTTTAAAAGCATAGTTATGTGGTGAATTGTTCGATCGATATGAACAAAAATATAAGTTTTCCCATAGTAATCCCCATTTAAACTTGAAATTGTTTGTGCCAAGTCAGTTTCTTACTAAAGTATTTCAAATTTTGGGAGGCTAAGCAGGACCCAATTTGAAACCGTTTAAGCATTGTGGAGCGACAATTTCAAATTTTGCATCAGTCTAACATGCCACACATTAACTATTTGAACATTCTAGGTCATTTCAGAGTAAGGAATACACAAAATCACCAAGTTCTTCTAAAAGAATAATCAAAACAATATTCAGTTGAGCAACTTTCTTGAAATTAATACTTGAAATCTTAAATTACCTCATCAGCAAAATCAAAATCATTCAACTGCGCAAGGCTCGCAACTCCTCACAGGTTTGATTCATTTAAAAAAATCACAAACCTAACTCTGCAACTAATAATATGAGATTACAAAGCTCTTAATTAAGAGCAAACGTTCAAGAGTAAACACAGGTCAATAAATTAATTTGATAAAATCATCAAAACATCCTTAAGTTGTTAAACTTCCTACTTGAATTACAAAATTATATCGTTAGCAAAACCGAAATCGTTCAACTCAGCAAAAGCAATCTGCAACTTCTCATAGAGATGATTCATTTAGACAATTCTCTAATCTTACTCTACAACTGTTATAAGCTTACAAGGCTCTCAATTCAGAGTAAAGATTCAAGAGTAAACACAATTTATTGAATTCATTTGATAAAATCATAAAAGCATCCTTTAGTTGAGAAACTTCTTACTCGCATTAAAAAATTATGTCGTTAGCAAAATCGAAATCGTTCAACGCAGCAAAACAATCTGCAACTCGTCATAGAGATAATACATTTAAACAATTTTTTAATCTTATTCTGCAACTAATATGAGCCCACAAGGCTCTCAGCTCCGATCAAAGCTCTTTACTCTCCGCCCATACGGCGGGAGCAGAATAGCTTTCCGTTCTTACGCCGGAAGCTTTTTACTAACCGGCCATAGGTCGGTAGTAGAAGAGCTTCCGGCGTATGGACGGAAAGCCATTCTGCTCCCGACGTATGGATGGAGGGAGAGTAAAGAACTTCCATCGGAAGGATGGAAAGCTATGCTACTACCAACTATATCTACCACATAGAGGTCTTCATATACATACAACAATAGGCTCCTAACGCTTCTAACTTATCGCAAGAATAGGATTGTTTCCCTATATCTATTCGGCTTGATTCAGTCCTGGAGAAACCTAAATGTAAGTGTTAACCAGCGACGATGTTTTATAAGAGACACGCGAATACTGAAACCAAAAGTTCCTGTCGAATAAATAAACTCATGGTGAATCAACTACGCCTATGAGGTTGAGCATTAGTTTTTGAATAACCCATCCTTGAAATTCCGTCAACTCGGAAAGAGAGGATCTCCGAAGTTATTTCAGTCTGTAACTTTATTGTGAGGGACGGAGGGGATACAGTAAGTCCCCTATCCAACAACGCTTATGAGATTGAGTAAATAGTTTTGAATAACGCATCTGAACATACCAACTTGACAATATGAGAAACACCGGAATTATTCCAGTTTGAAACTTCACTTCCATTGATATTAAAGAGGGGTGGGGAAGGATGTAGTAAGCTCCCTCCCTCCTCTTCAACTACGCATAAGAGATAGAGCTTTTGTTTTTGAATAATTCATCTGACCATACCAAATCAATAAGATAACAAACTGTGTTGGCAGGAAAAGTGATTTTTGTCATGAACCCATAATCGTGATTCTCGTTCCTGCAATCGTGAACTTGGATTACATGCAAAGCTGCAGCTGGCATTTTCAGGTTGTTGTCAAACTTATCCCTACTGAATGCTCAAACTCGTCGAGAATAGTATGTTGATTATTAGCGAAGACAACATATCAAGAAGACTGGCAACTCTGCCAGAATCCAAGCGACATATACAGTAGCGCTGCGCTCGAGTGAATGTGGAAGTAACGCATAGCGAACTGAGCAAATACACAAACCATTCCTCTGAGGTTGTAATCTTTGCTATCCAATTCGTTCGAAGCATTTACCTTTTCGCGGCAGATGACGCGATTGTGCCGGTCTCATAGCGGTCGTATGAGAAAATGGTAGAGTTGCCAGTCTTCTTCATTTGATGTCTTCGTTATTAGTGAGTGCATACAGCTGAGTCGTATCGTCAGAAGGGTGGTGGAGCTCCTCAAGCTGGCCGTAATCCTCGAAGGAAAGGGTGAACCAGTGTACGTTCCAAAGTGACAAAGCGACGTGAAAGTGGGACTAGTTGAAAAATGCCCC